GGCAGAAGAGTGATTCACAGATGTAAGAGACAGACAGACAGACACAAAGGTAGATAAAAGATAAGATGAGTACTGCGAAGTGGTGCAACATGACAGTGTCGGGTCATGGTAGTTTGAAGTGAACTGCCGGTTTATGAACTTTTTTGGCCGTATGAGTATACGTTGCCCATGATGCACCAAGTGGAGATACGTCTATCGCCCACCAAAGAGGATAAATATAATATAATGTATTGAGTACGGGTATGGGAGAGACTTACCTCCATGTGGTGCACCCTGGGAAACGTATACTGATACGGCAAAAAGTCTATCAATCGGCAGTTGACTTCTGATTTCAAACCACCATGACCCTACTGTATGTCATATTTGACCATTTCCACAGTAAATGTATTGAGTACCACTTTCTATACATTTTCCCTTTTGCAAAGCTTCATCTCAATGATGGCAGCGGCGATTAGTCGCTAGCCTAGTTCAACTTAATAATTGTAGTTACCAAAAACATCAGCGCTTTGTTCCCGACAGTTTCGTCTTGACGTTGGCAATAATTTGACACATTGTGGTAACTAATCAGTTAGTGCTTTGGTTCAAAGCTTCACTGAGTCCAGTTCTACCTCCATCACCTTCGACTTCTGTTTTCTTTACCAAATGTTGCTTTCATTGGGGCAAATTCCAAAAGTTCATTCAACAGAATTAACAATCACTTAACTGAAAATGAGGACGTCTGCTATGTTCAAGATTACGAAACCAACGCTCATCGCAATGCTCACAGTGATACGGTTGGTCAACCGCACTGGTAGATCGTGTTTTTTTATAATAACAACTTCAAGATGCCTTCTTCCAGCACAAACCAAGTTCTGCCCATTTTGCACAATTGGCTATGGAAGATTACGTCTCAAATGCACCAACTGTGACCAATGTGAATATTTGCCAGGACACCGGTTGTGAGATCGATGCCCACGCAGCGATTTGGATTGCCTTCCACACTCCAGAAGCAGATTTAACCGTTTCCTCCAACTTACCTTTAAAAAAGCTTAAATGGGCAAACACATCAATTTAGACCTTATACAGACCAAATTTGATTAACAAGAAAAGACAGATTTATCACTACCATCGATATTAGCATTGTATCATTAGTAAGAATTTCGATACCGAAGTGAGTTTATGACGTACAACACATGCCTTCAGAAAAGCAGCGGAGAAGCGCAAATTGGCTCAAATACTTGGAAATGGAACGGGAGAAGAGACAGGAGTAAAAAGGGGGTGAGGTGAGGGGGGGGGGGGGGGGGGGGGGGGGCGGACTGGATAAAGATTTAGAGAAGGAAGAAGCGAGCACATGTGGATTTTTAAATAGTGATTGCATGGAAGTAAAGTATACAGGCCAATTTTGCAATGAAACAAGAGGAGCATGTGTGGAAGGCAGAGGTAGACAGAGAGAGAGAGAGAGAGAGGGCTTATATACACAGAATTTCAATTGTGCAAGTTTGTAAGGAGAAGGATTGAAAGTTTGTTTCGCCAGTGAAGTCATCAAGAAAGGAGAGTGAGGATTGTTACGGGAAGGGAAATTTTTATAGTCGCCCTTCATTTGGTTTCAAACTAATGCTAAAAGGTCGACAAAAGGCTCCACCCAAAGATCTTTAGGCCATAGTTCCACTGGAAATTGGTCTTGTATTTTCAGTAATGCTGCTAGCCTCCGCTCCGCCATTGCCACTAGCACTACTTCCGTTATTACTACTGCAAATTTCTCGCATCAGCGGAGAGAGGCCATCCAAAGAGACGAGTTTGGCGAACTCTGTCATACGAATCTCCAATGATCGAAGGTCAACGAAAGTTAGATGAAGGCGTGTGAAGAGTTCAGAAGCCTCACGAGCATGTTTCGGGCCAGCACGCCAGCGAAGATAGTTCCACAGGAAGAAGAGGTAGACACGTCGTGAAGTGGCAACAATTTTTTGAATGCTCTCGTCCACGGAATCCTCGGTAAAGAGCTTGATTGCAAGAAGAGCCATTCGAAGGACATCGTCGGTACCTGTCAACTCCTCGAGATGATTGAAAGCAGCCATTGTATTTGTCTAAAAGTTAGGCAAAAAGGGTTGAAAAGACTGGAAGAGGACTGGAGGCAAAGAAAACGAAAATACCTCCACAAGCAGCACCTCCATTTTATTGTGTACACGTGATAAAAAAGACTATAAAACTCCCAGCATTCCCAACCCCCCCCCTGTACTTTTAGAAAACTTGACAACATAAGAATTAAGCAAAAACTTGTTCGATGGAATGTGGAAAGGCTATTTGCAAGGATTTCGCGCCTTTTAATGGAATTAATCGGTTCCCACTATTCATAAAGAAGCTCCCATTAGATTGATTGCATTATCATCCGGTTTAAGGTTCTCAGTGTATGGTGAATTCATGATGTCGATAGGGTTGGGAGACAGAGTAGTACTCGGAATTATTAATATATGGCTCATGGACTACTTATATATTAGGGGTAGAAATAAGAAATTGCCAATTTTAAAAGCAACGTTAAAAGGTTAGGCATTTTTAAAATATGTTAATGGTACTACATGATAAAGTGATTTTCGTCATTATTCGCGAGCCCCTTCCATTGGCATTGTAGGCATTTTCAACTTCAATCGCATTTCCAATGCGTTTTACTCTCTTAGAGCGTGCCTTACGCCTCTGGAAAAGTAATCATTGGATGGAACAAGATTCGGAGGAGGCGCTAGAACCTCACAAATTAACACCTGCGTCTTTTGTGAATCACTATAGTTTTATAGGGTCAGTAGGGCACTGTTGGGTTGAAGAATTACCAAACTTCTGAGAGATAAACTTGTGTTTCTATCGTTCATTTCTTAGTTTAGTCTTCTCATTTATCGATAAAAAAATTCACTTCAATTGCAACTGTTTCCTCCAGTATTGGACCTTACTATTAGACCATTCCATACAAATCCAGCAAATGCTCAGAAGAAGCCTCCGAAGGGTTAACCTTGAAAAGGAACAGGTGCTTAATTCGGAAACAATCATTGCTTCTTTCACAAACGATCCACTACTATTCAATATACGAGTGTGCTTCAAGTGTAATTGCACAATTCCCCATGGACATGCGGGTTTTGTGATCGTTCTTCCAAAATTAATTGAAGAAATGTCTTCAACAAAATTTGGAGGAGCGATAGGACGATTCGAAAACTTAAAAAAGTGGAATTGGCGTTAGCGAACTGTAGGGAGCTTGGCCATAAATTTCAATCAGGCAAGAAGCAGTGCAAAAAAGCAAGATACAGCAAACGAAAATTAAAGTAAACGGGTGGGAAAAAACCTTGTAGAGCTCAAAATCCTCCTTTAGACGATCAAGATTGACATTTGCGTGGAAGGATGAGAAGTCACGTTCATCCTCCGGAGTGGAGATATCATCTAACATGGAAACTGTCACGGAGGAGAGGGCACCATTGCGGTCCTTCACGGGGTATCTCAACTTTCGAATATTCCGTTCAAAGAAAAATGAAGAGTAGAGTACAATCATACCGTAGATGTTGGCCTGCAAAAGGAGGCATATCACATTAAGAAAGAGTAAGCAAAGGGGAGGGGAGTGGTGGGAAGAGGTTGCGATACCTACCCTGAGTAGACCTAGTTGGGCAGGCTTTCCGATCTCATTGAAGTATGGCAACATCTTGACAACACGAATGATTCGACGAATACAGATGTCCATACGATTGTACTCCTGTTCTAAGGTGACCGCAGCTTGTGTATCAAGAGGCTCATCCGGCGAAAAGGGCTCACGAATACGCGATACACAGTCATGGAGACAACTGAGGAGATTTCTATCGGGTTCCACAGGCAACACACTATCCAGAGCCATACGACGGTGCTGACACGGCAGTGACCTGCGGCATTTGATGTGATGACAATTGATAGTGAAGTTGGTGCGGCGACATGGCTGTGCATTCACGAGACCAGAAGAAGTCTCTGTAGAATTGGAGATAGTTGGAGCCGGTTGTAAAGATGAGAATGGACCCTGTAAAAATGGGAAGGAGTATAAAGGCTTGAAGAAGGCTGAAAAGTTACCCTCTAAATGTACCAGAATTTCCCTCCTAAATCATGAGTAGCTTTACACAGTTTTTACTTTCATTTCCGCACCGTTGCACTTCCGCTTGCCTCAACCCACCTCCCATCATCATAGCGAAATCGGAATTGCAGGACATCGAGTTTTACCAGATTCTACCTCGAGGTGGTTAGGGTATTCTATCAGCGTTACCTTTCACACGAACAATTTTGAGTTACACGGTGCAAACGCCTGTTTGCGCAATCTTTTCTGTTCTTCTCTTTCTCCTGACTTATGTCCTATCCCCCCCCCCCTCCACACACATTCACCATTTACCTAATATCCTCTCTCTTAAATCAAGACCGCTGACATCTATCCTTGGAACGATGGTTTGGAAACTGTTAGCTGTTAACTCTACAATGTTCACTAATTTCTGATTGAAAAATGGGGAAGCACTTCCCATCTTCAAGCCACAAACCCATGAAAGAGAAAAAATTGAATAAGAATAGCATAATACGATGGGTCTAATTCCATTGAATATTTCAACGAGGAAACTTCCGTATACTTCTTAAAAGTGTGTGGCGTGATTATAGGGTCATTGCTTTGAATTTTGCTGCCAATTCTAGGTAAATCAGCTGATTCAAATCCCGAAAAGTCACACAGTGAACAGAACGCGTAACAGGTGTGACTTGAAATTTAAATTAAATAATTAAGAAGGTAAGAACAATAAAAGTAACATTAATCACAAGAAAGAGAAAAGCGAATTTGAAGGCTTTTTGAACTCTACTCTTGGCCAGCGAGATCTAAATAAATTATATACGATGAATCAACGGTTTGAAATCTTATCGTTTACATGAAATGGACGTCAAATTGGCTTTTCCATCAAATGGTACTAATAGCAGCTATTTGATAACAATCGACGACTATAGAAGAGACGAACATTCCAACCCCCAACCCCCCCCCCCCTCCTCCTCCGTACTATTCAAGAGGTTAATTGAATTAGTGGAAACGAAATTTAAAATGGCGAAGGAGAGTTAACGATATTCACACACACCTCCCTTCAATCCTCCTGAAAGAGTTGTCTGGAGTGGTCTTATTTGGAGCTACTTCCACTCAAATAACTTCAGCGCAGAGCAGGGCGTGAGCAACCTACAGGCGGATTTCATCATAAGAGCTCAAACGTAATGCGATATCAATCAAGCGTGTCCAACATTTCCCTAGAGCATTATAAATCAAAAGCGTGTAGATAATGTTCACCTTGAGTGAACTATGCAATATGCGCTTAAGTAATCCAGTTAGCTCGTTCCAACCTGCTAGTACAACATAGAGCTGAAGAGAGGCATTAAAGAGGCCCAAGTAGGGATACAATCAAACACTATAACCCCAAGATGTAGCAAGCAATACTCATCTTAACAAAAATTAAAAAAAAAACTAATCAACCATTTCAACTTATTGGACTACACACATTACTGTTCTTTGAGTTGAAAGGCTTTTCAAAGTCGAAAATTGCAATCTTTTGCCTATGCACGAGCAATAATGAAATCACTAGAGTGCTAGTGGCGTACTAGTAGAGTCCGGACAACTGTCAAATAAGGGAACACATGATGAGATTGATGACCCCATCCAGTGAACGGTCTGTTTTGAGCTGGAATACGCTTCATTTCGATGGGTTTGAAAAAATAGACTAGCTGCCAATAGTGTGTTACCTTCCAAAAACCCCAAGCGACTCTTATAGCAATGAGACAGAGAAAGCAAACCCAATACTTAAATTTCCATTTTGTTTCTACAAATCCCCCCCCTACACCCACCCACCTTCGCGGACTATTGCACAAGATTCACCGATCATAATAAAACCAGGTATTTTCGCTAAACAACCACAATACAACCAGAAATATTCGACCTTTGTTTTTTGTTTTTATCGAGAGAGAAAAAAAAGAGATAAATTCTGTTGAGCCATCAACCCCTTCGCCTCCCCCTCCCCCCCCCCCCCCCCCCCCCCCCCACCATCCCCTTTACAAAGGGAGTGAGAGTGAGAGAGATGTTTATGATAAGGGGGCAAGGAAGGGGGGGGGGCGGGAAGACAGCAGTGACAAATCACCCAACAACGAAGTCGAATTGTCGTGATATGACAACGAAACAAGGAGGGAGAGAATTATGCGGAGATCGCAAGTGAAGATAATCAGAGAGAAACACGTAAAGACTTACCCTCTGTGTCCTCCTTCACCTCCTCTCATTCATTTGGGCTCAATCTCATCTTTTTTTTCCCCACCACAAATTGCGTGATAAACTTGAATTCAGTACGCGTCTACAACTCTCATCTACTATCTGATCTAACCACGGCGAAAAAGAAAACAATTCTGTCATACACACACACACACACTAACACAAAAATAAGAACTAAATAACGGACATTTGGAGAAAAATTAAACACTAACACTGTTATGCCTGCACACGTTAAACATTCGTGTGTCAAGCCAGAGGTCAGGACGATTGGAGTTACTAATCGAACTTATAATTAAAGGAGATCAATTGGACATCCTTTGGTCTAGTGGATTCGGATATGCGCAGACGGAGTCCTTGGTTCTGCGCTTTGGAAATTACAGCCTCATTGTCTATGGGATTTAAGCGACTTAAAGAGAAAATCTGGCATGGCTAAGCCCTTAGATTGGCAATGAACGAATGACAATTGACGAAATATACAACAAGATTTAAGTTCGTCTTTCTCTCCTATCCCTTATCAGAATTGCAGTAAAGTTGAGAAATTTTCAAATTAGCGGCCGGTGAGCTTCAAACGACAAGGTATCTTTCAAAGCTCAACCCTGGAAACAGGGCGCGTCAGTCATGACAAGCAACGCATTCGGAGCAGTAGCCTGCAGAAAAGCCATTTCAACTTTACTCTTGCCATATGTCAAGTCACACACCAAGGAGATCAAGAGGAAGCTCATCGCATTAGCCATTTAAATGGTCAATAGGGATGTCCACAATAACAAACTAATTAAGGCAAAACATTTATTTATTTATATCAAATGGTAGGCTTTATGATAGTTATCATTAGCCCTTTAGTTGACTTCGGGCTTCACAGAAGGGAGAAACATTAAAGTAAGAAAAATTCGACAGGGGGAAAGAAGAGCGATTCAGAGATGTAACAGACAGACAGACAGACACAAAGGCAGCAAAACATGGAATAGGGTGAAAATATAATGCCTAGAAGTTTCCGCTCCTAACCCCTTGTAACACTAGGAGAGGGGGGGGGGGTTACGCATAAGATTCGTTATTGAATCAAGCAGACAGCTAAGAGAGTGAATGCATTGCTAAAAAGGTGGGTTTCAAATCCACATGAATTTTACTAGTGGTGACGCATCGCTTCAAACTCCCAAATGCCCCTGTTAATACGACCTGCAACTGATATTATACTTATGTTTAATTAAATAGACACATACCTCATTTAGGAAAGACGGCGCTGCTGGAATAACACCGGTCGATATCTGATTAGGTGTTGGTGGTGGGAGCGGGGGTCCACCGACAAATTGATTTCCACTTTCTGTGGGAGGCGGCGGCGGAGGTAGACTTAATTGGAGATCTGGCATGGAAGAGGGATCAAAGGAGGACTCAGAAGGAACTCCACCAGCACCGTTGCCACCTCCCATAGCGAAGTGGAGTTTCATAGTGGCGTCGAAGAGTGGAATCTGTCCCTGGGCGCCGCGCGAACTTGCCATATCATTGAAGAGCTAGTAGAGAGGGAGGGGGGGGGGGAGAGAGAAAAAGAAGAGTGGATGTAGAATTAGGTAGTGGTGCAGAGTTCAACGCAATCGCTCTCTCTCTCTCTCTCTCTCTACCTTTAAGCCCAACCAGGTCATCACATAAATTGAAAACAAAACTAGCCCTTCCCAATCCAAAAATAGGGAAATTATCAACAAATATGATTACGATGCATCCAAATCTCGTGGGTCTTTCGTAAATGGGAGGTTGGTTAGAGGTTTCGACAAAGGCACATATTTTATATCGACAAAACAGCACGAAATTTTAGCAAGATTAGACTATAGTTTAGTAATATAAGGACTTTCAATACTGCCACCTGACAAGATAGTTCACAAGTTAGTTGCTGATAAAATGAAGTGCAAGGAGAAAGGAAATAGGAAAATGCTTGCTTTTAAAAATAAAAGTTTAACAATACTTATGCTGAAAAGGATCCCGTTTTAAAATACTCATTAGAGGAGGGAAGTCAATGTACTCAAATAGAGGAGGGACTTCAAACATACAATACGAGTTAAATCGGATGTCCCAAACCAAATAATAAATTTTCAGGAAATTTTACCAAAATCTTTAAGGATATATGGACTTAGCATAAAAAGCTAAGGAGTTAGAAACGAAAGGACATTAAATTGCACGTTTTGCAGCAATACCAGTGATTTGGCAATGCTTAGGCATAAATCAAACTTCAAGATAGCCGATGCTCCGTGAATATACCTTCAAACACGATAACATCCAATGAATTATTCCATATTGAAGTATGAGGAATTCGGGAACGGAGAGGCGGACAGGAGAGGAAGTATACCGAATGTGAGCTGGCACGGATTTTACAAAAAAATTTGGTACCTCAATCCCCCCCCCTTCCCCCATTCAACTCTACTGGTCTGGAAGAACACAGCTGGGTGGCCAATTGACAAGATGAATGAGCGCAAAATAAAATATCCATCCACCCACGCACTGGCTCATCAAAAGCGCAATTGAAAGAGAGAACCATGGAGGTGACTATACTTACGCTACTGTGAATGAATGTGTTCATTATCTCTCATACTAATTGATTACAAAATAGGCGATTCGGTTAGTGAAGGGATTGATCTTGCCGTAACGCCAATAATATGTACATATGTATATATATGCGAATCTACTACCCGTTTGCGGAACAAATTACGCTGGAAAGTATAGCAGAGTGGAGGAGGATAGCGAAAGCCCTACTGTTCCTGCTATTACACAGCTGAAAAACAACACCTATCTAGAGCTGTCAAAATGGCGATGGCAATAGTGGCCCCACACACACACACACGCACGCACAAACATTGCAAAAACCCGACTAGCGGGAATAGACTAGCCGAGAAGGCCTAACAACTTGATTCATACATTCAGTGTACCTTAAATGTTAAACAAAAACAAGCTAAAGACTAAGCTCAAAGTTACACTTATACTTGAATAGGCAAAGTAATGTAGACGGAGAGGAAGGGGGTGGGGGTGAACAAGTCAGAATGAGACCTCGATTAAATACGGCGGACGATATTTACGCAAATAAGGATAAATAACAAAGTACCAATAGCGGAACGTTGATCAAGAGAAGATCTTTATCTTTAATTTGAATAGTATTTTATAAGATCAATACCCTGGGAGGACTGATGGGCAAATAGTCGAATAAGGCTATCCTACCACTTCATCAATTTGCTGCAACTTAATTGGGAAAAGCCAAGGACCAAGATAAATATTGAGAAAAGGACATTCAAGGAATGAAATCAACAGTGAGATTACCCTCAAGCAGGTAGTGGATTTGAAAGGAAACTAAAGAGAGAACGAACGTACATCACATCAGTTGGACGTAACGTAATGAAGTGCTCAAAAAGAAATTAGGGTGGGAGTGGGGAGTGGGAGGGAGGGAAGGACTACTTCTCTACTGGCCTGGCAAAAAAAAAGTAAGGAGATACCATTTTGATGTGTGATAAAATTGTGCAGGTTACAAAAGTATGCCCCAACTTGTATTACAACAGCAACAACAACAACTACTACTACTACTATTGCTAAATCGACATAGTTACAGTAGACCAGCTACCCTCGTTTCGTATAAAGGTAGAGACTGTCAGCTTTCTCGCTTCTTCCAAGAGTGGGAGCATAATTCAACGCGCGCGCGCGCAGTACCGCAATAAAGATGCCAGGTAGGCAGGCAGAGAGCATGGAGTGGGGGGGGGGCATTAAGGAGCGCAGTATATTCCACCACAAGACTGAATACACGATAAGTTAGCCAGCAAGCGAGAAACATGAGATGGGTCAGAGAGAGAGAGAGAGAGAGAACTTGAGAGTTAGAAAACACAACTAGAAAGCGGAAATAAAATCACTCTCACTCTCTCTCTCTCTCTGAACATAAAACTGGAATTGGCACTATATACACATGCGTAGCGAAGGCTAGCGCAACTGCCGGACAGCAAGCGCTCGATACTGAACGGAGCTATTGCTACTTTAATCATACCAATTTACACTGGCTATTTGTGAAGCTAGTATTTGTTGATTTAACCCCCCTCCCAAAAAAAACACAAAATGAGAACCAGACGAGAAAATATGGTAGTAAAATGGGTGCCCTTTCGCATTTGTCTAGTCACTTTCTCCTCGAGATACAATTGCAATTGAAAAGTAACTCCATACGTACGTTTCAAGCAATCAACCCTCTGTATGAAGCTCAAACAGATATTTACTCTAGCGGTTAGGTAGAAGAACAAGAAGGGAGAGATGATGGGGGGGGGGAGATATGAACCATGATGTCAAAACTAAAGACCGTCAACTCATGAGAATCAAGGTTGCAGTAGCCCACAGCGTCTAGGCAAGACCAATCAAATAACTAGGTCGATTGAACGCATTTGTGTGTTACCTAAATGCCTTTTTTTCTACAAGTCTAGACAACCGAATCCAACAATTGGCATAAATTAAGAATCTTCCCCCAAGAAAATCACATCACCTAGGACGATATAAACACTTTATAACGAGAGCTCCATAATCCTCGATTACACAACCTCACTAGAATTAGTCTTGACCAAGAGTACACAATGTTGTCAATATCCAAAGATGATATGCATCAGCTGTAAAGTGGGGCTTTTCCTAACTAATGACCCTGCAAATCTAAGCGTGGGAGAGTGGCGACAAAACTTTTGATTTCTTGATGTACACCTCTCCTGCTATCCTGATGAATAGGCAACAGGGGACTACGAAAATGCCGACAGACCTTCCCCCAATTGAGTACCAAAATCTACAATCCTGATATTGGTGTCTTTGTATATATTTGAGCTTAACCGATAGGCCGAATTCTGATAATGTCTAAGAGGAAACTACTATTTGTAAATTAAACAAACCCTAGACTGATCTAGGACATCGGTACTAACCAGAGCAGATAGAAGGTCAGATAACTAGGGCGGCTGAACATCTGCCTGTTATCAATATATAAATACACTTTTTTTTCAAAGACAGCGGGACTAGACAACCAAAATGACTGACATTCCACTCCACCCCCACTCCTTCCCCTCCAATTCAAATTCACATCGTCTGGCGTGTGGAAGGATGAAAAATAGCCAGTAATGGAGGGAAAAGGTTTCGCGAACATTTAGCTGACTATTTTTTTTCGCTGGCTATCACACAACCCAAGATGGGCACACACACACACACATAGGCGTAGAAACATGTGATGAAGACATGGTACTACGGTGAGGTCGTGTCCTTACGCGCGAACAAGGCGGAGGTGGTTTTAAGGTCACGGTCAGCAGGGACTGGTTGTGTGTGTACGCACTTCACCTTAAATATGTGTCCTCTTAAGGGGGAGGGGGGAGGAGGAGGTCAAATCTGCGTTGCACTGCGCGGTTGTTCCAATCGATACACCTAACACTAGTCCCCACCTACTCTTACTCCTGGTTACCTGTAAATAAGCACCAATGACGATAACTTACTTGCCTTTGTGGCCAGATCCTTGATTATGAGCCATGGAGGGATAATTATTTATTTTTTTTCAAAAAGAAGATAGCATAGGAGTGCCAAAAGTAAATGGGTGCTATAAACATACAAAGCAAAATACGGAAGACACTGGCTAGATATCGACACCTATCAAATCGAGAAGTCTCACGTCACCTTCAAGATGGTAGAGATGGAGGGTGCATTGCTTTTATTTCACGTAATTTGAAAACAGATCAAGGCATAAGACCCTTCAGAAGAACCTCAAATTCGTTTCAGTGAACAGAATGGCAAATCGCACTTGATCAGTCCGGTTAACACAGTGCGACCAAGATATAGAAAAAAGTGTGAACGAAGTTCATGGTATGCACTTTCAACACTTGCTGTGAACTATTGACTGTTCAGTGAGCTGTTATTCGTAATTTTCTGCATTCACACGGTTACTCTTTCATCTTGGTCAATCAGTTCAAAAATTGGCAGAATGACGGGATAGACTAGAACATGACACTCTCAGCCCAAAATGTGCCATGAAAATGCCAATATTGGCAGTTATTATTACTATTTAATTGCAATTATCACTAGACATCACTCCATTCCAACCCCCTTCAGATTTCTAAATGAAAAAAAAGGCAAAATCATGGAGCCAAAAAACGGACTCTATTCTACTAAAAAATATCATAAATGCTATTGTAATGCGAGGTCTTCTTCATAATCTTCCCCTTCAGTATTGGTGGTTGAGAGAGGGGTCAAACCCCTGTCCTGGTGGGATCGCCTGTTAAATACAACAATATGATGACACATTTTGTTATGGGGAACTACTACTGCTACAGCAAGTATTACACAAATTTTAAAACTAAACCACGAAGTCTATAAAGGAACTAAGAGGACGAAGACTATGCAAATGGCATGCATTACACATCGAAAAGGGATTTGTGAATGCTACCCAAACACTTTTCAATTAGTGCTGTGGCAAAATTTCGCCGAATATAGCTACTTCGAACCCACATAGACAGGCAGGGTATAA